GAAAGAAAGAAAGAAAGAAGGAAGGAAGGAAGGAAGGAAGGAAGAAGAAAGAAAGAAAGAAAGAAGAAAGAAAGAAAGAAAGAAAGAAAGAAAGAGGGAGGGAGGAAAGAAAGAAAGAAAGAAAGAAAGAAAGAAAGAAAGAGGGAAAGAGAGAAAGAAAGAAAGAAGGAAGGAAGGAAGGAAGAAAGAAAGAAAGAAAGAAAGAAAGAAAGAAAGAAAGAAAGAAAGAAAGAAAGAAAGAAAAAGAAAGAAAGAAAGAAGGAAGGAAAGAAAAGAGACAAGGAAGGAAGGATCGGCGCTGCCAGAAGCAAATTTCCAAGCAGGTTTGGGGTTTGAGGGGAAGGACTAAGGGGTGTCCTAGACACCCCAAAAGTTTGGGGAGACATCCATCATCCCGAGCATCATGGTTTAATGCCACCTTCAGCCAAAGGCGTGTAAACCAGGATGCGGTTAGAGAGAGATGAGTGCTGACTGTAAGCAGGGAGAATTTGCAAGCAGGTTTGGGGGTTGAGGGCTAAGGGGCAGCCTAGACACCCCAAAAGTTTGGGGAGACATCCATCATTCCGAGCATCGTGGTTTAATGCAGGTGGCCTCCCTGAAAAGCCACCTCAGATCTGTGGTTAGCCGTGTTGTTTCCGACGGAAGTGGATGTCAGTGCGACCGAAAATGAGCCATTTCCCTGCACTTACTTACTAGCTGTCTTAACCTGCGAGGATTTTCCACCCAGACGGTCCCCGTGAATCTGCAGGCTTTGCAGAGAAATACGGTTTAGAATCTTCGAATCACAAGAGTTGGAAGGGACCTGTGGAGGTCTTCTAGTCCAACCCCCTGCTTAGGCAGGAAACCCTGCGCAAAAGTACCTGCTTCCTGTCTGTTCATTTGGGCTGCTGGGTGTCTTTTTGCAAAATCAAGAAATAAATTACAAAATAATAAATATAGAAGGGATTATAGGCAGTCCTGGACCGTTGTAATATGGAACAGGCACTAAAGGAGCTGTTGTAGCTCGTTTAGTGACTGTTCAATATTACAACGGCCCTGAAAAAAAGGGATTTATGACCATTTTGTGGCCTTTTACGGCCATAAAAAGCATTTTTGGTGGGGGGCTTTGCAACACTTATCAGGCGACCAAAATTCAGAGGCTCATACTTACGACGGTTGTCCCCGGGGGGGGGTGGAGGTGTCACCTGATCCCCTTTTGCGACCTTTGGACGAACCACGTGGATGGAGGGGTGGGGGAAGCCAGATCCGCTTAACGACCGGATTAGCAACGGACGAACTGAACAAGGGTGCAAGAAAAGGTCATTAAAAACTCGCTTTAAGAGGCGTCTCGCTCAGCCACGAGAAATTTGCAGGATCCGTGGCGGGTTCGTAAGTCGAGGAATACCTGTGATTTATTTTTTTTGCTGTAGGCCCGAGCGAGGCGGTCAGTTGGGGACAGTTGTGAAACATGCGTGGGTGTTCCTGTTTCCCCCCCCAGCCAGGTGATGGTGGAGGTGTGAATTGTCGTTGTGCCAGACCCGAAATAGCATTGTGACACTTTGGCACTGGCTGAGGGGCAGCCAGATAACGGCGGCTGCCCTTGAAGGAGGGGAAAAAACTCTGTTTGCTGCGCATTGTCTAGTGTTCCCCAGCAAGAGAGCCCCGTTAATTCAGAGAAGGATGGCCTAAATTAGAAAAACCAGCTCCCCGCAAGCAGAAATGTAGCCCTTGGAGGAGAAAAGTGCCGCACTTTCAATGAGCCGGGAATGTTTGTCCTCCCCGTCTCCTTACTATGGTCCTTCAGCAAGGGAGACCCCATATCTTTGAAAAAGAGGGGTCCACTTTGAAAAACCAGCTCCCTGCAAGCAGAAATGTAGCCCCTCAAGAAGAAAAGGGCCACAATTTCGAATGAGCAGGGAATGCTTTGTCCTCTCTTGTCTTTTCCTTAAATGACCCCTTTTGTTATATTTTCCTTGCTTTCCTTTTTTTTCCTCCCGTTTTTCCAGCTCTTCGTTTTCACCCAGGCATATGTGTGTGTGTGTGTCTGTCTGTCTGTGTGTGCACATGTTTTCCATGCCTCTGAGCATACGCAGAGCCCGTTGCCGACTGTCGGTCTCGCGCCTGCCGTGAAAAACGGGTCGGAGAACGTGACTTTTACTCCGAATCAATCTTGGGGAGGGAAATTTTCTTTTTTTTCTTTTTTTTGCGAAGTCAAGAAATGAGAAACGAGCATTTCCTCTTTTAAACTCGCCCAGCCCTTTTCCCTGACGTTTTGCATTGATTGCAAAAAAAGAAGAAAAAAACCACACACGCACACACACACACAACCCAAGCTGTTGCCGCCCCACATCGCCTTCTCCTTTCTGCACCGAAGAGCCACCGGTTTGGGGCCAGGGGGTCTCCAAGAGGCGTTGGGAGGGTCCCGTTGGCTCATCCAGGACCAGCTGGGTATCGTGCCCTCTCTTGCTTTGGCATCGGCGGTTCGGCTGGGTGGGCGGTTGGCAGCTGGGCGCAGGTGGCACCCAGCGCCGGTCGGTTGGCCCAGGGTGGCACCTGAAGAAGAAGAAGAGGCGTTGGTGCGGAGGAGGAAACAACCGGGCAGGGAGGGGAGGTGGACGGGGGGACTCCAGAGCCCATGGTTCTTGAGGCCGGCTGTTGGAGCGATAGGAAGTGGGCTCCGGTTGGGGCGAGGGCAGTGCCAATCCAAAGCGAGGCTTGCCAACTTAATTATTCAAAGAGAGAATGGGGCGGTTGGTTTTTTTATTAATTCTTTTCTTTCTCTCTCCTTTTTCTTTTAAAATAAACTTCCTTTTTCAATGTGTTGAGATAGAAAAGATTTCCGTGTTTCTCCCCGGTGTTTTTTTTTTAATTGTTTAAAAAAAAATACTCCATCATTTCTTTTTTTTTCTTCGATTTCTTTTCTTTTTCCTTGTTTGAAGAGTTAAACTTTTTTTCCCACCGTTTCCTTTTTCCCCTCCCTCTTTAATTAAAAAAAAAAATACGACCAACTTCTTTTTAAACTCTTTTTAATATGTCTGCTTGGGCGTAGCGGGCAGGGGGGCAGGGTTGGACTAGATGTCCTACAAGGTCCCTTCCAACTCTGCTAATCTGTTAAAACTTGTCTTCCCTTTTTCAGTTTTTTTTCTCTTTTTCTCCTCCACTGTTTCCTTTTCTTCCTTTTTAAAAAAGCCAACTGCTCTTTAAACTTCTTTTTAAAGCCTTTTTAATAATTCTCAAAAGTCTTTTTAATCCATTTACAATTGGAAGCGACCGGCCTCCATTGGCGCGACCGGCCTTCGAATCCAACCGGATCGAAGTAGAAATGATGGGGAGGAAGTGAGGAGGACGAGAGGAAGGGTCTCTCCGTGGCAACCGGATTCCCCCAAGGTTCCGCATGGACCTTCCGCCGTTGCCCGGACAGTCAGACAGACCGCTGACCTCCCGACTCCCTGACATCACCTTCTTGTTTCCTTCCCCTTGCCGCAGATGCCGTGAGGTCACCTCCCGCCGCCACCCCGCCATGGCGGAGGAGTGGGCCCCCCAGCTGGTGGACTACTTCGTGGTGGCCGGCTTGGTGGACACGTCCAAACCTCTGGAAGATGAGAGCCAGCCGTGCCGTCCGGCTCGCCCGAACGAGCCCATCGTTGACGTTGCCGTCATCGTCCGCTCGCAAGGCGAAGAGGTGCCGCACGGCTTCACCTGCATCGATCGGACCAATTCGGGGCACCCTGTGGAGATCAACACCAGCCTGCTGAACAACCCCCAGATGTTCATCTGCTACCGGCGGGGGAGGGATAAGCCCCCCATTGTGGAATTGGGGTAGGAGGGATCCGGCGGCGCGAGCGAGAACAGCTCTGCTGTCGTTTTCGGAGACGATTCCATACTAGAACTCCCAGTCCCTATCCCAGGGATGGCTAACCTTTCGGTCCTCGCGTGCCAAAAGTGTGTGCGTGCACACCAAGACCCATAAGGCAATGCACGCAGGGCCCCCCAGGCACACACCGTGACCCCTCCACTGCATGTCCACCCCCCCCCACAGATGGTAGCAGCTACCCAACGGGCAGGTGGCGGGCGGGCATACGCCGTGGACCTACTCCGGCTCGACGGCTCGCAGGCCAGCGACAATGACTCTGCATATGCCGCTTCCAGCACGCGTCCCATAGGTTCGCCATCCCCGCCATTAACCCGACCTTGGGGAAGGTGACTTCATCTTTTTTTGTGTTTAACAGGGTGCATTATGGGGGGAAGGACCAGCCCAAAGCAGGCTACAAACTGGTCGACACCACGCCCTACAGCCACTCGGCGAACCTGGCTTCGGGCGCGCCTGGACATCAGCACACGTTCCTGACGTTCCGGCGGGCCAGCGAGGGTCAGGCGTACAGCGCCTTGGGGATCACAGACATCTGCCTTATCATGCCCAGCAAAGGGGAGAGCACGCCCCACACCTTCTGCCGGGTGGAGAGGAACCTCAACGCTGGGGTGGTGAGTCGGAGACTGGGGCGAGAAACGATGCGTCGAGGCGCTTTCGGGCGGGCATTCCCGAGAGTCCTTCGCAGGAGGACGGAAGGGGGTCGTCTGAACCCTCAGAGAGGCCCTCCTGTCAGAGTCTGAATCCGAGGAGGAAGACGGAACAGCTGACAGGGAGCGGGAGTGTGGCTCCGTTGGCTGTGGAGGAAACTGGGGAAGGGCAAAGTCTGGCTGGGTAGAGTAGGGGGAGAGGGAGAACAAGGGAGAGGGAGAACAAGGGAGAGGGAGTTCAGAGGAAGACCCAGGCCCATCGCCTCTTCATCCTAGGGCATGCAGGGAGGAACGGAGAAGAGAGGAACATGAGTTGAATGGCTTATGGGGGAGGAAAGGGCCCTGATCCCCTTCATTAGTGACCGCTGGGAAAGACAGATGATAAGAAAGGCAGGCTGCATGCGTCAGGCTGTTGGGAGCAAACGTGACTTTATCCTGTGTTGTCGTGGGTTATCTGTGTTCCCAGCGTCTTCCCAACCGTGTGAGTTTTGCCGTGCCTTCTCAAGCCTGAAATTCTTGCTCCTGCCCTGCCAAACTAATTACTTCAGTTTGGCTTGTTTGGACTTTTAAGTTACAGTTTGTGTTGACCATGTTTTGGACTGAATTTTCTGCAGCCAAAGGCTGTTCCTGGCAGAGTGTTTTTTCTCCAGCCAGAAGGTAACCTGGTCGTTAGGGTCAAAGTTGGAGATAAGAAAGGGACTCCTATTGATTATCTTGAGTGTGTTGCCTTTGTGCCACACCCCCAGTGTTGGAAACTCTTGGCCCCCATGGCCGGAGGAGGGCGGCAATGCCATGATTGTTTTCTGGAGAAGGGGGTGTCCGTTCCTGGTTTTGTGTCTGGTTGGACAAGGCAGATGGACAGACAGCCAACCTGTCACGTCTCACCTGCTTCTCCGTTGGACTGGCACCCCATCTTACTCTCTTCTCTCCCTGCAGTGGGGTCCAGCCCTCTATATCTGTTACAAGATGGCGCAGTCTAAAGGAAACACCTTGGTGTACGAAGCGGGTAAGGCCTCGCGCGGCAAAAATGGAGGCGTTTCATCACACAGACCTTGGTTTTCGGAGGTTTGCTGGGCACAGTCTTCAAGGGCAGGCCCACCAAAGCTCGGGATGCAAGTAGTCCATCCCATAGTTTGCCAAAGGAGGGGGCAGTCGAAAGAGAGGCAAAGACAGAATGAAGCTTTCGCCTCTTCGCCATACCTTATTTCTCGTCTTGCTTTTAATTATTTAAAAGAAACAGCTGAACAAGCATCCAAATGAAATCGGATTAAAGAGTTTGAAACATCCCACGTATTATAATTTTCTAGAAGTTAGTACTTCCTTATGAATAACTGAATATATCCTGTTGGTTTAAGAGGCAGGAAATTGCTGTTAAGCTTCAAAATAAACATAAATATCAAGAAACGTGATATTTGCTCCACACATTGGCTGGGGGATTCTAGGCGTTGAAGTCCACCCATGAGGGATTCTGGGAGTTGAAGTCCATCCCTCTTAAAGCATCCTGGCTGGGGGATTCTGGGAGTTGAAGTCCACCCTTCTTAAAAGATGCTGGCTGGGGGATTATGGGAGTGGAAGTCCATCCGTCTTAAAGTCACCATCTTTGATTTAAAAAAAAAAAAAAACCACCGACGTCTGAACTCTCCTATAAACTTGCTTCGTTTTAAGCCAAGATGGTTCTTCTCGCTCTCCAGGCCTCCTCAGCCGCTTCCCGGAGGAAGACAACGAGGTGTTCCCGCTCCCCGAATCGGTGCCCGTCTTCTGCCTGCCCATGGGGGCCACCATCGAGAGCTGGCCGGCTGACACCAAGTACCAGCTTCCCGTCTTCTCCACCTTCGTGTTGACTGGCGCTTCGGGGGACAAGGTAACGTGAGTGCCGAAGAAAAGGGATTCGACTCGAGGTGAGCTGCGTCCGGAGTAACCGAGGGGCCGTTCTCCCCTCTCTCCCCGTACTCCAGGTTTACGGAGCCGCCATGCAGTTTTACGAGTCCTTTCCCCGCGACCGCCTCACCGACCGGCAGTCCATGTGCCTCAACCTCCTCACCGTGGTCGACCGGCGCCCCATCACCAACAAGTCCGTCCAGACCCGGAAGAGCATCTGCGTCTTGTCTCACTGGCCGTTCTTCGACGTCTTCCGGAAATTCCTCACCTTCATCTACCGCTACAGCATCTCGGGACCCCACGTCTTGCCCCTCGAGGCGTAAGTGGGGAGGACGGAGAAGGGGTTCCTGAGGTAGCCCAACAGGAGGAGGGGAGGGGGGAGAAGTAGGAAGTCGCCGGCTGTGATGACCCAAAAGGGCGTGGCACAAAAGCAACCAAGCCACAAAAGTAGGTCAAGTCCCTTTAATTCCTCCCACTTGGCCCGCAATGTCCAGTTATCATCAGCTGGAGAAAAAAATTCCCAAGAACAGTTTTTAAAGGGAAGAAATTCCGTCCGAACCCAAAGTACATATAAATTATAAATAAAAACCAACATAAACCACACTGCAGCAATTAACGAGACAGGGCAGGATAAGGAATTGCAGACTTCAAAAGATAACGAAACCCACACAGTTGGGAGGACGCCAGAACCCAGATAAGACATGACAAACAAAAGATAATTCATGCTTTGCTTCCAGCAAGGTGCTGTGCGCAAAACACCCTTTTTAATTCCTGTTTTCTCAGCTGCAGTTAATGAAGGGAATCAGGGCCCTTTTCTTCCCCCGTAACCCACGTTGCTCCCTTCTCCGTTCCTCCCTGCGTGCCCTAGGATGAAGAGGGGGTGGGCCTGGGTCTTCCTCTGAACTCCCTTGTTCTCCTCTCCCCTGCTTTGCCCAGCTGGACTTTGCCCTTCCCCAGTTTCCTCCACAGCCACCGGAGCCACACTCCCATTCCCTGTCAGCTGCTCGACCTCTCCCTCAGAATCAGATTCCAGCAGGGGGCATGACACCGGCCTTGCCTTTCCTGTTCATGCTGCAACTGCTGGCATTCTCCGGTAGACTGCTCCTGGCCATGGAGGTTCCATTCCAAAGGCCATTGGGCAGAAACCGACTTTCTGCGGGCTAGACTCCGCCCCCAGCTTCACACAATGGCCCCCCTGGGGCGCCTCCCCCCCCCCCCCATGTAGTGTCCATCGTCCCGTTTACAAAACAGGCTTGTCCATTTTGAACCATTCTCTTCCCTTTCCTTTCCGGTGACTCCTACGTTGTTGTTTTCCTAGGCATATTTCTCACTTCATGCACAACGTCCCTTTCCCATCCCCGCAGAGACCTCGGATCTTGGTTCAGGTGAGTAGGTGGGCGGTCCGATAATATATCTACTGAACAAAACTCCGCATTGGTGACAGGAAGGGCATCCGGCCAGTAAAAACACTGCTCGCTCCATTCAGTTGCCTGGACTTTTCCCCGCAAGGGGTCATTATGGGGTCGTTAAAAGATGATTATTTGTGGAGTCCAAATTATTACTACTGTTGATCGTTTGCACCGTCAACCAGATGTTTAGCCTGGATTTTAAGCCACCTCTCCAGTCCTTCCCAAGGACAGGCAGATGTTTTTAATCTAACATTTTTATTTAATAGCATTAAATAAATAATAACATGAAAGATTTCAGCGCAGGATGTCAGCTGTTCCAAGCCGAGCTGCCTTTTTGCAATTGACGGGTGCTGATTTTTGTCAACGACGATAATATTATTCTGGTTCCTTGTGCAGTCAGCCAAAAGTTTAGACTGGATCTTACATTCTGACCCTACCTTTCAGCAAATATTTTTAATTTAATACTATTCAAGATCTCGTAGGATGCCAGCTGTTCCAAATAAATCTGCCTTCCGCAATTGACGGACGGTGATGCTGTATTGCCCAAGTTTCACCCGTGTTTATTTCTGTAAAAACGATTCCCGTTTGCCGCAAAGAAACCGTTGGCGCCTCAGCAGTGAAACCCGGGGTGCGTTTTTTTCCCAGGCGCAGGAAGAAACGTATTTTGCAGTTGTGGGTTTGCAAGGTGTTGTGTCGTCGATCGGCTCCTCCATCTTAAATCCTCCCTCCCTCTTTTTTTCCCCCCTCCATAGATGTCGCCCTACGACAACTTGCTCCTGTGCCAACCTGTCTCGTCCCCGTTACCTCTCAGGTGAGAATGGGACGGGACGGGACGCCTGGAACCACATCCAAATCCTGCCAGCAGAAAAATTCAACATGGCCCCTTCTCTTTGCAGTGGGGCCAGTTTTCTCACCCTCCTGCAGACTCTGGGCCCCGAACACGCCGTGGCCCTGATGGTGGCCGTATTGACCGAACAAAAACTCCTCATCCATTCGCTGCAGCCAGACGTCTTGACCAGCATTGGAGAAGCTTTGGTCTCGGTTAGTGTCCGTTGCCCTGAAGCCGGAAGGCAGGGGAAGGGGGGGGGGGAAAGGAAGGGGAGGAGGGCTGGGAACCTCAAGATGGCTGGGGGAAAAAAATTGGGGGTCCCCTGGGCATTTGGCTATGAGACAAATGATATCCCCAAATTGTGGACCTCAATTTGCAAATCCTGGATGGATGCGTTGCTCATCGGCCTAAAAGATGGACGGACGATTGCAGTGAATTGCAGTCTTTATGTCGAAAATGGGTAACTTTGTGGACTTCCAACTCCCAGAATTCCCCAGCCAGCATGGGAGTTGAAGTCCATCCACTTTAAAGCATGCAAACTGGGGGATGCTGGGAGTTGAAGTCCACTCCTCTG